GCAGTGGTACATTACTGGGCAGGTCTACTTGGTAAGTTCTGAAATTCTTGGTTACCCTCCCACTCGAGATCGGAAAAGGCTGGCTCGAATCAAGCGAGATTAAGTCACACACTCACGCCATTGGTGGGTATATACGGCGAATAGAGAGAGAGGTATGTTTATTGTACTGCTCGAGTCATAGGCTATCTAGCACATTTGGCTGCTTTCTGACCCATGCCACACCTTGTACAGTGCTCCTATTCTCTTATGTTACTTGAAAGATCATTGATATTTTGCCATTGATGAATAGATATTCAGCTCAGTGTTTACCCGTGGAATTCGGCCACTTTTTCCACGGAACCTTCTACCCAAAAAAAATAAAAATGGTAGCAATGGAAACTGCGTGCGCGGGAAAAAGTCTCAAAAAACCTGCAGCCCCAGCCAGGCGAGGCCTAGACACCGAGTCCATACGAGGTGCGTATATTCATCTATATCTCCCTTCTTTGTAGCAGTCGGGGCCGACTTTTTATATTTGCAAAAATACCTCTTGTGGTATTTGCAATTGAATTCCAGATCATGAGTGTCTTCATAGTCAAAAGAAACCTCTAATATTTACGTGTAGCAATTGATAGTACCTCACAACTAGATAACTTCATACGTCTATATGGTTAAAAAAGGACGAAGAAGCTAGATGTGTAACCATTCCCCTTCGATAGAAAATTTATGATTACTGTATACATACTTCATTCACTCAAGAGTGCTACCATGGTGGAGCTGGGCGATTTGACTTTCAAATAAAAAACCTAGCTCATATCTAATATCCTGATACGCCTAGTCTCCATCTCATTTCCGAGCTTTTTCCTTAGGTTTAGGCTGCGGAAACTAGTTCAAGAAAATTCTTGAGTGTAGATTAGGACTGAAAGTTGATCATAAAGGCCTGCTTTTCAGGGATCAGAAAAAATTTTAACACTCCTTGTATCTGCACAGCGCTATTACTAATAAACTTCGGGTCATAATTGTCTATTCGTATGTCGACCTATTTGAAAAGGAGGACGAAGGCTGAACACCTGTCAGTGGTGTCCCCTACGAACCTGGGATTGAAATACTCTCCCAGAGCCGAGATTCAGTCACGACAAAGGGTGGGATGAATTTTATTTGATGGATTTTCGACTTAAAGGAGTTGCACTCGATATTTTGGTCGAAAAATCAGTCGGCAGAGATTTCACAGCCGGAACAAAGTTGAACAAAAACTCATCACCACTAGCATACGATTCACGAATTGATTTAGGTCTATCTGGGAGTCGTATAGAAAATATGCGACAACTCTCAAACTTATTTTATATTTGCGACGAAGCATTTCTCAGTCGATTCTATACCTGCGACCCACTTCCATACTCGTCCAATCACCTAACTACACACGCTCTAATGAGGAAAGTCATGATGGAAACGGGACGTGTACAAAGGATGAAGAAAAGGGAAGATACACCGAGGGGACTACGCAAATCCCCAATGACGAAAACAACCCAACGGTACGATATGAAGGTGCAAGGCTAAAGCAACGATAAGATCTTGGACGTTATTAATATTTCGGAGTCAATGAGGATGTCAAGGGCTCGGGCGCGTGGTGGCAGAGGCTGAGGAGGAAATCGCGCTACGGCGTGTATATAGCGGGTTTCTGGACGGTTAGGCTTGGTATGATTCAACACATAGGTGAAGTCTGAGGTGGTCCGGTCATTAAAGTAGGAAGAGGTTTATCTGTACTTCACGGTAGTTAGCCTGATCCGGCCCAACCCCACACGTGCTTAAGCTCCAATAGGAGTGCAACGGTAGTCATGTAATCTAGCACGTTAATGAACAATACAAAGACCTATTTGATAAGAAGTTGCACTCAATCTCGGCATAGAATTCAAGAATGGAAAAATTACTTGCAAACTATGCTATGAATCAATTATCTTCAAATTTTGCGTCCGCTTCGATTCAAACGAAAAGCTGAGTGTTGGGGGAAAGTAGGATTTGTGGTCGATGAATTATACGCGACACTTCTCTGACTGGCCAAAAAAATTTAGTCTTTTGGAGAGATAAGATGAGGGAAAATGGGTCAAGTAAATCTCACGTATATAATATTTCTTGAGGAGGGCAAGACTGAACACCTGTACGCGGGATCCTCTACGAACCTGGGGGTGAAATATTCTCTTAGAGTAGAGTTCAGTCAAATTTTGCGATATCGAACAGGTTGGCCCACGAGGCAATAATTCAAAATAATCCACCATGTCAATCTTCTCTCTTAATGAGTTCGACTCCTGTCTAAGTCTCATCAAGTCTACAGGTACGATCTTGTACATCCTCATTCCAATGACCACACCTCTAGTCGACTATTCTCTGGCCTCAGCTCATCACCAAGTACACGCCCACGCCCATTTTTATACCCGCAGGAGGAAGCAAATCGTGGAGCACAAATCTGGGAGATAGCTCTTTGGGATGGACGTGAGAGGGATCAGGACAAGTTCACAAGATGATGCAGAAGAGGGATACGTTTTTGACGGGCGTGAAATTTCGAATTTTGGCAAGAGTTTTACGAATTGAGCTTTGTGCGTGCCAAGACTTCGCTTGCGAGAGTGCAGTTTACACTATAAACACAAGCCGACGATGGAAGGTGTTATGGTCCGCCTCCTGGTGGTGTTCTCTGGTATGGTTTGAGTAGCCTGGGCACCTACTCCACTTGGGAAGGAGACATCTCAGATCACATTTCGCGCGGAGAAAAGTTAATGGATGACGGAAGCATGTCAAGATAACTCAGGGTTTTGAGACGTTACCCTGGGTGGGTATTCACGGATGAGGGTTGACTTGGGGTGAAGAAAAAGCCGCCATAACTTCGCAGTGGTACTTGCAAATGAAATCTGAGGCATGAGTGCTCTTCTTGTAAATTGTGTCATCTATTCTGTATTTTTCTTTGGTATTGTGTCATAGCCAGATAGCTACATACGCAATTAAAATCTGAGTCAACAAAATGTCATGCACTGTGGTTAAAACTGAATATTATCGTTATCCGGACCTTTGTAAGATAATTTTTCAAGGAGTGAGACGAGCTTAATTACTTCAAATTTTCTCTTTTATCAAGTCTCTGATTATATTCGCAAATGCAGTATTTAATTGCCTATTAAACGAGTACATTTATGTCTCCAGCAATATACGCCATCCTAAGATTTCCTTATATCATCTGTCTGGGAGCAATATCCTCAAATGAATTTAGGTAGTCATCATGACCTCTTCATTACACCTCTCTTCACAAAAAGGCGAAGGCTATCTGCGTTTGTGACTAACTATTAAAATCCCGAAGGCCTCTGAGCTCGGAGCTGTCTAGATTCCAAGATAAGGACAAAATGCATGATCAGATGTCTTTTCAAATACTTATAGTAAAATCAGCCGACGTGGTAGACCATCGTTGATCTAAGTGTAGCCCCTTTCCCTTCCCCTTCAACCCTTCTACTCATTACTATCCAGCTTATTCTGCAGTACAAATCATACATCCTGATTAGATGCTAGAGTGTAGGTACGTAGCGATTGCCTTGAAGGTTAGTCTAATATCTAGAGTCGACGTGGGCGTGCGCTTGGCGAAAAAGCAATTTGCCTGCTTGAGAAAATGATTTCATGTGGATTCTCGGAACTCCGGTAAATTCACATGACTGAAGACGGCACGTGTTAGCCATCAATTACAAATCATATTCCAGAAATTTACTAGTGGCAGGCAATAATTAAAAGATCATGTGGCAGGGAATGCAAGGAATGTTAATCACTGCCTCAGGGTCCTCCAGTCAGTTATCATTGGAAAGTTTCAATTAAAAAAACTATAGCATTATATGGATTTTCTCAGAGTGTGTACACGAGGAATCTAACTGGAAAATAAGATTCGTCAATGTGCTGCTTTAATTGAGGACAAGACATTGTTAATGGGAAAATGGCCACCCTCTAAAAATTTTTCTGTTGCATATGATTGGAAATGTTAGGAGCACTATCCTGGACAGGGCTAAATTTGACGGTAATCTGTTGGCTCAAGTTGAGCGGTGAGGCAATATTAAAGTACAGGAGTTATTGGACCATTCTGGGCAGCAAATATACGATTTGTTTGAAAGGGAGCGAATGATGACTATTTTTTATTTAAAATTCTTTCTCCAAGCTGTGAGATACAGCGCGTTACGTAAACGAATATTCTGTAGAAGAAAAGTGTGGACTGTACTTTAACGATGCTTTACCTTGCTAGCTAACCACAATCGCACATATATGATGAGCAGGCAGACACGTGTATACAAGTCTAAATCTACTGGGATTTCAAGGGAAAACTATTGACTAATTTCGCGGGGTACCTCTAGTGCTGAACAGTTGTATTTTTTGGGATCTATTCTGTGACGCCTTGGCATCTTCGGTGGCATAATTCGAGTTGAGCGCCTAGCACATGGGTGGTGATCTCGATAATCGGGGCTAACCGATCGCGGACTAGTAGTAGGGAGCTAATTTTATACTTGGCCGGCTGTGCGTAATTCGTAGAATTCTATCGATTTTGACCGAACTTAACGAAAAGTCGATGTGGGCCGGCTGCTGACGTCATCAATTAGAGGGAATTCTCGTACCATGAATAATCTGGAAAGTGCGGCTGATGTGGGCGTAAAGAATTTCGGGAATCAGGATCATCAGCAGTATTGGCGTTCTCAATCATTTCCGGACTACATGCCGGGGATCGAGATCTCTCATCCTGCGGGGAGTCAGGGTGCTAGTTGATTCTACATATCGCTAGTGACTTCCAGTGTTGTCCATCGAGTTCTGAGGGACGTTGCGCTAACCCACTTTGGCACTCCCCCTCGAATTAAGTAGAATCAAACAGAACTCCCAGCTGCCATTAAAAAGCACCTTCGAACGTCAGGAGGGGTCATCATACATTGAGTTTACAAAGCTTCCCATTACTTTTACAACGAGATATCATTCACACATCAAACATATTCACATATTCGCAAACACATCCAACCAAAATGGGTCCCGCAATAGGTAAGCTATTAATTTAAGTAATTTGAAAACGCTAACAATTTTAGGTATCGATCTTGGAACTACCTACTCCTGTGTAGGTATATACCGTGATGACAGAATCGAGATCATCGCCAATGATCAAGGAAACCGGACGACTCCATCCTTCGTCGCTTTCACAGATACTGAACGTCTGATCGGAGATGCAGCCAAAAACCAAGTCGCCATGAACCCAGCCAACACAGTATTTGACGCAAAGAGACTAATCGGTCGTAAATTCGCAGACGCCGAGGTACAAGCTGATATGAAACATTTCCCCTTCAAGGTTATCGATCGCGCGGCTAAGCCAGTCGTTGAGGTAGAGTTCAAGGGTGAAATGAAGCAGTTTACACCTGAGGAGATTTCGTCGATGATCCTTACAAAAATGAGGGAGACTGCAGAGGCCTACTTAGGAACAAAGGTTGATAACGCTGTTGTAACAGTACCGGCTTACTTCAACGATTCGCAACGTCAAGCTACCAAGGATGCTGGTTTAATCGCAGGACTAAACGTTCTCAGAATCATCAATGAGCCAACTGCAGCGGCTATTGCATACGGTCTAGACAAGAAAGTCGAGGGCGAACGTAATGTTCTCATTTTTGATCTGGGAGGAGGAACATTTGATGTGTCCCTGTTGACCATTGAAGAAGGAATCTTCGAAGTAAAATCCACTGCTGGTGACACCCATCTTGGAGGAGAAGATTTTGACAACCGCCTTGTTAATCATTTTGTCAATGAGTTCAAGCGAAAACACAAGAAAGATCTTTCATCCAACGCACGAGCTCTGCGCAGACTAAGAACCGCTTGCGAACGCGCCAAGCGAACACTTTCCTCATCCGCACAAACATCAATTGAAATTGACTCGCTCTTCGAGGGAATCGACTTCTACACCTCTATCACCCGCGCCCGGTTCGAAGAACTTTGCCAAGACTTATTCAGATCTACCACCACTCCTGTCGACCGTGTTCTTGCCGACGCGAAAATCGACAAGTCTAAAGTGCACGAAATCGTCCTCGTCGGAGGTTCCACTAGAATACCCCGTATCCAGAAGCTCATCACAGATTACTTCAACGGCAAGGAACCCAACAAGTCAATCAACCCTGACGAGGCCGTTGCTTATGGAGCTGCTGTACAGGCCGCTATTCTATCTGGTGACACATCCTCCAAGTCCACCAATGAAATTCTTCTCCTTGATGTTGCGCCTCTATCTCTCGGTATTGAAACTGCGGGAGGACAAATGACAAAATTAATTCCTCGAAACACAACGATTCCTACCAAAAAATCAGAAGTCTTCTCGACATTCTCAGACAACCAACCAGGAGTGCTGATCCAAGTATTTGAAGGAGAACGCCAACGTACAAAAGACAACAACCTTCTCGGCAAATTCGAGCTTACTGGAATACCACCTGCTCCAAGAGGTGTTCCCCAGATCGAGGTTACTTTCGATTTGGATGCTAATGGAATTATGAATGTCTCTGCTCTTGAAAAGGGCACCGGAAAGTCTAACAAAATTGTTATCACCAATGACAAGGGTCGCCTGTCCAAAGAAGACATTGAGCGCATGTTGGCAGAGGCCGAGAAGTACAAGGCAGAAGATGAGGCGGAGGCTGGACGCATCAGTGCCAAGAACGGTCTAGAGTCGTACGCTTATTCTCTGCGAAACACATTGTCTGATTCAAAGGTTGACGAGAAGATTGACGCCGCTGATAAAGAAAAACTCAAGGCTGAAATTGACAAGACAGTTGCATGGTTAGATGATTCACAAGCAGCCACCAAAGAAGAATACGAAGAACACCAAAAAGAACTTGAGGCAGTTGCCAACCCAATTATGATGAAGTTCTACGGTGCTGGTGGAGAGGGCGCTGCTGGCGGCTTCCCTGGTGCTGGTGGATTCCCTGGCGCTGGAGCTGCTCCTGGAGCCACCCATGATGATGGCCCTACTGTCGAAGAAGTCGACTGAGTAAAATAATGTCATGTTACTTGGGATGTGGTTTTCTTAAAAGTATTTGCAAATAATGGTGTCTAGCGGGTTTGGCTATGATAAGAATGTATGAACTTTCATGCTCGTTTCGAATTTAAAGATAGAATTCTCTCAGCAGTGTCTGTTAGTTAAATGAATTTAATCATGAAATTCTATCCGTAGTAATCAGTGTGATCTACCAATTAATAAGATTGAGTATATGAAAACTTTGGATTGTCTATTCATAAGAGATCTAGAGTAACTAAACACTTCAGTGATGTCTAGGTAGGCCTCATACGAACTATATTAATCATTTAATAGGACGGGGTTTTCTCGCAAGGACGCAGAGAAAAGCTTGGCACTCATACAGCATAGGTGACTACTCTGAAAACCTGCAAGTCGTGTCTCCCATGAACTTCCTCTCATTACAGAGTCCGCAGAGTTGATATTGTGCAGTAAAGTCCTTATTTCGACGAGGATTCCTAATCGCTTTCGTCGTCTGTATCATCTTCATCCCTCAACACATTCCTCTATCACCATTACCATGAAGCTAACCACGATTAGATTAGATGGTAGAGTCGGGGCCCTACTCATGACCAACCCTTAATCATGGAGGAGAAGCCATCCGATGAGTTTCCGAAGCGTACCCAGCACCCAATACGGAGATGGTGGATTGGATCAAGTCGGCCTCGAATTTTACAAAGAAGGGAGATATAGATGAATACGCGCACCTCATGTGGTTCGGGAATCAAGGCCTCGCCTAGCTAGGGCTGCAGATTTTTTGGGACTTTTTCCCGCGCACGCAGTTTCCATTGCCAACATATTTATTTTTTTGGGTAGAAGGTTCCGCGAAAAAGGTGGCTGGATTTCACTGGCAAATACTGAGCTGAATATCTATTCATCAAGGGCAAAATATCAATGATCTTTCAAGTAACATAAGAGAATAGGAGTACTGTAAAAGATGTGGCTTGGGCTAGAGAGAAGCTAAATGTGCTAGATAATCTGACTCAAGCAGTACAATAAACACACAATTTTTTTGAATCTAAAAATTCGAAACTTCCCTTTTTTCCCCTCTCCCTCTCGTCGCATTGTCTCAATAAATTGAGATCGAGTCGTTGGTATTTCAATCATGCCACCTATTCGAAAAAAGCTTCCCGACGCAATGTTGAACAACTCGAGAGTCCACTCGAGGGCTCTCGCAAAACTACCTGGCCTTGCTCAGTCTTTGAAATGTGTGGAGATGTGTCAGGTCGTATCAAAAGGGATAGAAAAGGCCCTTCCCATCGTCATCAAACCCGATACTGATATAATCGGGTCAGTTGAAACTGTTGAGATAATTCTTCAACGAGCCTCCACCCCCCACGGGATCGGAGAAACATCCAAATCTCCTCTGACCTGACCCAAATCGTCGGAAAAAGCTGCACCGAAAGCGGCTTCAACGACAGAGTCGTAGCCTCAAGCAGTTACTGAAGCAGAATTCTCTCTAGAACTTCGACCAATCCTCAATGTCTAAGAACGAAGCGCCGCCGAAGCAGCGACAAATCTAGCACTCTATTCCGCCGCCATCTCCGGTGTTGAAGCAACCCTTCTTTCTTTGACCAACGGGTCAAATAGACTATTCGTAGACTCGATGGGAGTCTACCTACGCGCAGCCATCGCGCAATACATAGCCACGGGCCCGACTCCCACGCCACTTGTCCTCCCTCTTCGCCCTACGAACCCTCTCTCAAGGGCTCCCGACGCCAGGAGCTCTATCATACCCGCCATCCCGGCGCTGCCTAGAAAAAATACCTGGGCCACGGTAGCTAAAAACCGACTGCCACAAAAAGCAGTTCCTCAACTAAAGGCTATGCAGCAGCCTGCGGGTAAAGCCCCGAAGGCGAAAGTTGACAGACGACTTTTGATCCGCCTTGGTAGCGACCACTCTTGGAGGAAATTGTCTCCCCAGGGTACACGAATCGCAATCCAGGCGCAACCCGGTTGCAGTATGTATATGGCTGACCCCATACATCGAGTCAGGACCGGTTCTGCAATCGTGACAACCGATGGAAAATCAGGACAGAAAATTCTGGATGCCTTTCCGATCTTGAAGAATATTAATGCCAAAGTTGAAGAAGCTTCGGATCTGGTCTCCTTACGGTTAAAAAATGTGCCAGTAAATATCATACTACAACGCGGCCCGGTAACGGTCACAGACTGAGAGGTCACAGGTGAAAACCTCTGATAGACTGGGCTTACGCCAGCCAAGGTGCGATCCCATGGAAAGTAACGTCCTGGTGCACTATACCGCACTTGGGATACTCTTTTCCCTCGGGGCTCCGCCTCTCGTGCGGGCTTCTGCATCTTTGAAGATTCGGGTTTGGCTACTAAGCTACAGCCTCGTTAAAGAATCAAGCAGTGCTACCGCCGCCACGGCTTCCACGCCACTCGTGGTAGCTTCCGCGATACAGCCTGTCGTAATTGCGGTTCAACAATGCATTCTGAAGAAAAGTGTAAGGCCTCCACTAAATGTCGTAATTGTGGAGGACCTCAACGAACGGACTCACGGGGCTGCCGAGCCAGACCCAATAAATTCGGCCCGATGAAGAAAGAGCAGCTCGCGTGGATCTGCCACATCGAACAAGGGAGATCTGTAGAGGTGGCACTAGCAAGAGCCGCAGCTTAAAGGGTAGAGGAGGCGATTATCACGCCAAAAAAAGGCGTCTTCATGGCGAAGTTACCGAGATTTGGAGTTCTGGAGTCTGAAGAATGAGTCTGGGGAGACGACGACCTCGATATCGCCCTATAGGCGATAACTAACCAATAGCAGGATACCGGCTGTATCAATGGTACCTGCTAACCTATCTCTCGGTCTCAGCAGAGGTCGGAAAATTTGTCATCTGGAAGGTGATAGGAGCGCATTGTTTGGGCTAAATATGGAGGAATTTTCCAACTTTTGGTATGTTTTTGATTTTCATGTTTTCGGTTCTGTCATGATCTGCTGCAATCTTGGGAGCGATTCACGCGGTGGGAATGAGTGGGCTGTGGAAAAGAAAATAGGGATGCCTACCAGCTCCACTGGTTCTGTACCCATAGTAGGACGTAGAGCTTTTACTTCAGCTCAGGACTTTAAATATTTAACATAACATAATAAAATAAAATCTATTATCTCTCCTATCATAATTCTAGTCGTCGAGGTGTGTGTATGTCGATTTACCGTGCTAATTTATTCTTTTGTTACTCGAAAGATCATTGATATATTCCCCTTGATGAATAGCCATTCAGCTCAGTATTTACCCGTGGAATTCAGCCACCTTTTCCACGGAACCTTCTACCCAAAAAAAAAAGAATGGTAGCAATGGAAACTGCGTGCGCGGGAAAAAGTCTCAAAAAACCTGCAGCCCCAGCCAGGCGAGGCCTAGACACCGGGACCACATGAGGTGCGCATATTAATCTATATCTCCCTTCTTTGTAAAATTCGAGGCCGACTTGATCCAATCCACCATCTCCGTATTGGGTGCTGGGTACGCTTCGGAAACTCATCGGATGGCTTCTCCTCCATGATTAAGGGTTGGTCATGAGTAGGGCCCCGACTCTACCATCTGATCTAATCGTGGTTAGCTTCATGGTAATGGTGATAGAGGAATGTGTTGAGGGATGAAGATGATACAGACGACGAAAGCGATTAGGAATCCTCGTCGAAATAAGGACTTTACTGCACAATATCAACTCTGCGGACTCTGTAATGAGAGGAAGTTCATGGGAGACACCACTAACAGATGTTGAAAGTAGTCCCTCAAATCGCAGAAGTTATCGGAAGCGTATCACTTAGAAAGGGAGGAGAGGGCTAAGTCAAAAGTTTATGAGTTGTTAATCAATCTCATCCCTTCCACAAGAGCAAGAAAGTCTCAGAGGATAAAGTTAGCTGATGTCAAGTTTGTAACCATAGCGGAAATCCAGATATCCAATATTTAAATCACTTTTAACACTGATTTACATTTTGCACGCCACGAACTCGTCTGATGGAGGACAAAGATTTATCACCTGTAAGCGGTATCCACTACGAATCTGGGAGTGAAGGATGATCCCGGAGTTAGGTCCAGTCAAACTTTGCAATATCGAACAAGTTGGCTAACGAAGCAGTGATTCAAGACTCTCTACTAAATCAATTTTTCCCATCCAACGCGATCGATTCACACCAAAGCCTCATCCATTCTGCAAGTAAGACCAAGTACATTTCCATTTCAATGATCACGCCTGTCATCGATTATTTACTGGTCTCAGCTCGTCACCAAATATACGGCCAAGCCAATGTTTACACCCGACGGAGGGAGCAAAGCGTGGCGCACAAACCTGGGAGACAGTTATCTGGCATAGACATGACAGGCATCAGGACATGTTCAGAAGATGATTCTGAGAATGGGTACAATTTCGTTCGCTGTCAAAATTGGAATTTTGACAATGAGATTTAGGAACTGCGCTCTGTGCGTTCCAGGCTTCTGTTGCGAGAGTGCAGGCGACACTATAAATACTGCATTGGCTGGATTGCGCGGTGGTACATCATCTGGGACGGTATCACAAGTAGGCACTGGATAGCTTGGATACATATCCCACTCGAGACTGGAGACAGCTGGTTCGAATCCGGAAAAACTTAACAACATTTCTCGCGGCGCTGGTATGCATGGATGACAAAGGCGTTCCTGGATAACAAAAAATTTTGGACCATCCCTTTAGTAGGTACTTATGGAGAAGGGTAGACTATTTGTGTGAGAAAACATACCTCATAGTGGTATTTGCGAAAGAAATCGAGAGTATGTGTGTCTCTAACGTCAAAAGAGTCATCCAACGCGTACATATAGCACTCATGTGTGATAGCTAGAAAGCCAAATACACGTTAAATGATTAAATTTCGTTGTCTAAGAATGCAGGTGATCCTAGGGACGCATTACAGGATGGGTGGTGTAATGTTATATCAGCAGGGCTTAGGTTTTAGCCTCAGTCAAAACAGCTTGAATAACTAACATGCACGAGACAGCGGAGGACAAAGGCTGAACACCTGTGAGTGGCGTCCCCTACTAACCTGGGGGTGAAATTCTCAACTAGAGCCGAGACCCAGTCACGAAAAAGGCTGGGATGAATATTTTCATGGATTTTCGGCTTGAAGGAGTTGTACTCGATATTCTGGTCGATAATTCAGTCGGCAGAGATTTCACAACCGCAAGAAAATCGAACAAAAACTTATCATCACCAACATACGATTTACGAATGGACCCAGGTCTATCTGGGGGTCGTATTCAAACAAATAGCATCTCTCAAGCTTCTTATGTATTCGCGACGAAGTATTTCTCAGTCAATCCTACACCTGCGACCCACCTCCAAACTCGTCACATCACCTACCTACACATGCCCTAATGAGTAAAGTTATGATGGAAACAGGATGTGTACAAAGGAGGAAGAAAAGGGAATATACACCAAGGGGATCATGTAGGCCCTCAACGACGACAACAACCCAACGATAAGATATGAAGGTGGAAGGCTAGAAAAACAATGAGATCTTGGACGGCATTAATATTTCGGAGTCAATGAGGATGTCAAGGGCTCGGGCGCGTGGTGGCCGAGGCTGAGGAGGAATTTGCACTACGGCGTGTTTACTGCGGGTTTCTGGACCATCAGGCTTGGTATGATTCAACACATAGGTGAAGTCTGAGGTGGTTCCGTCATTTAGGTGCGACGAAGTTTATCTGTACTTCACGGTAGTTAACCTGATCCAGCCCGTTCCCATTTGTGCTTATGGCCCAGTAGGAGTGCGACGGATGACTATAATTTGCATCAGATTTTAATTGCGTATGTAGCTGTCTGGCTATGACACAATACCAAAGAAAAATATAGAATAGATGATTCAACTAATTGGAAGAGCACTCATGCCTTAGATTTCATTGGCAGATACCACTCACGGTTACCCCTTACGGTGTATAACCTCTTCCGTGCATACCCACCACAGGGAAAAGCATGTAAAACCTGTGGCAATCCGTGAGTGCTTTCATCATTCCACAAGCAAAACATCACCGCGAGAGAGTGTGGCGTGTGTGTCTTAATGGGTTCAAATCAACTTCCTCGTGTGTCAGATGGAGTAGATGTTCAATCTACCCAACATCTGCTTGGGGGAACGGCCTGAATGGTATACTACTGCATTATCCAACCCCATCCTCCGTCGGGTGACTATTACGTATCAATTAAGTCAACAAAACCAAACATGCACGAGACAGCAGATTATTGGCCTGAGGCCAAGACTCGATTACATCTTCTGAGGTAAATGATTACGTGCTAACGAAGGCTAGCTCAATTGAACGAAGAATTAAGAATTTCCTATGGTATTTAACTACGGAAGGTCGACTGTGCATTTATAATAAGCATTCTTCACAGTGTTATTTGCACATACATTACAAAGTGTACGTATCGCAGACGTCAAAAAAAGTATCAAACTTGTACTCAAAATGATGATGATGATCATGCTTTATAGCTAGACAGTTGTATACATACCAAATATTTGACGAAAAGGCCAGACAAGTACAATAGATTGAGTGAAATTAATGAAGAAGACAAATTAGCAGTGTGAGACGTAAAGATAGATTTTAGCCTTAATTGTTGGATGGTGGTATCGAAGTCGTTTGCGCACCCAATTATTATCAGTCAACGTAATTTTTTAAATTTAATTCACGAAAAATGTCTAGCAGTACCCTCACTCTTGTAATCGTAGCTCATGCATGTCTATTCCGGAGTGCTTCCAACTTCCCTAATCTTTTTTCGCACGTCCAAGACTGCTTTCCGCCAATCTTCGTCGGACCCAGTCCACTCCTGTCCATCGCCTCGAAATGCTATTCCGGGTTCTAAAAGGTCGTCACGACTTCTCCATATATCTTCACTGCTTGATCCCCTTTTCCCATACTTAGAATTTTCTACTGTGCGGTAGTATTCCTTTATTGCTGCCTGTTTAGCAGTATCTCCGTATGTTCTAGTGCGCATACAGAACCAGAATTTATTCCAGTGCTCGTTGCACGAGCGCACAGTACCATAACGATATAAATGCGTAAAGGCACCACCAAGAGACGTACAATAGAATGCGCTATCAAAAGCATCTCGACACGACATAGTCGTGGGGAGAAGGTGCTCAGCAATTGGTCCAAGTCTTTGAATGCAGTCAGAATTTGATGAGACAGCCGGTTCAGAAGATTGTGAATTCGAAGAGTCCCGAGAGACTTCAGCTATAATGGATCTCAGGGCGCTATCAGCTGTATCTGGATTATTTGGATTGGTAGACGGAGTTTTTGTGTTTTTTAACGCGTCATCAGAGCTAGCTGAAGGCGATGAAGAGGTCGGATTCGCCCATGGCCAAGTCATGTTGAAAAGTCAGCGGTTAATTCTCATTCCTTTGAAGAAAACCCGATCAAAGTGATATTTAGGTTGAGGGAGAAAAGTAGGTGTTTACAAGGTTGGTTGTCGGGTGATGTTTTTTAACAAGACTCAAGATACGTGGGGCTAACACATACTGTGCCACGTGAGTTAAAAAGTTACAAATAATTAATTTATGATGTTTAAGTGTCTAGGGATAGATATAAAGTGTGCGCTACAAAGATAACTAAGTTACAGGCTTAATTAATTCAGAGTGCATGTAGAATTGATATGACAGTACTTTCGATAAGCTTGCAAATAGTTGAAAATCAGATTTTGAAATATACCCCTAAATACGCCTTACTCGGTTGCAACTACCATATGAAATTTCCATCAATGTCATACTCCAGTCAAGACCTAAGTGAATTCTTACTACTTTAAATAGTTGCAAGGAAGCTAATATTAAATATTTAGATTAGCTAAAGTATAAAGAAAAACGTAGACACGAACTTTGAACCGACGCCAGCGGTGTCATCTACGAACCTTGGGCCTTCATTGTGAAGTTTAAACAGTCAATTTAATATCAATATTAGCCAGGAGCGTTTCAATTTCCAGACTCTGCCATTTTGAAGTACGCAATACTGCATTTAGAAGTCTATGAAGGCTAATTTACCGCATAAACTTATTGTCAATTATTTTCTGATATTATAGCTATACATCAAATTTGTCCCAAGCTACAAATAAGAGTAGCTTTTATCAGAGAAGTAAGGCAGAGAACAACTTCTGAGGCCATACAGCATAGTCTAGATGGTAAAGACGAACTCTTCATCTCCAGATAGTGCAGGTATAACCGCTCAGTATGTTTTGTTTATCTGGGATAACCAAGAAGAATCGCACCCGAACAGAAATCGAAAGCAACTCATCCACGTATGGAATCGAAGACTTCTTATCAGTGTCAGATCTTTATTTCTCACGAGAGTCTTCCAACTCTATTTTATCACACACAACCCCACCTCTACAGTAGATCAAGGAGCTGTCCCAATTGCAAGTGGGGATTTGCTTCATCAAAGATCGGCTATATCCCACTCCAAAGTTACGATACTATCTATACCCGAATTTAGGAAATTAAGTCATGATAAAAAAAGCTCCGTTGTTTATTTATGGCGAATATTGTTCCCATGGAGTTGTAAAACTTAATAAAACTTAGGTGAATGGGAAGCGAAAAGGGGCGTGGAGGAGATCTCTCGTGGGAATAATAGGCCTGACATTTTTGATGTGTCTTTAACCTTGAAACGTTTGTGGGCGTCAAGATTGAGATTTTGACTGATTAGCCAGCAGGGTAGCCATTTTCGATGAGTCAACGGCACTTTTCAGTATATAAGACGGCACAAAGGAAGTCAGGCTAAGCAACTATACATAATTTACGCTCTACCAAGACTTTTCTGATATTTCATCAAGACCTCCGGGAAAATTTGAAAAAAGATCGGAAAGGCATGTTGTGAATTTCCCGAGGTACACACAAGCCTGCAGCTCCTATTAGGCCGGCCTCGTCGATTGATTTAGAAGCGTGGCTATGTCTTCAGATTTAGTCCTAATATCGTTACAAGGAGAGCTACGCACCGAGTGATATTTTGAAAAATTTCCCGGCTACTATACATCCGCAAATGACCATCGTTTGAATTGCTGGAGAGCAAGTAAATGAAGATTATAGAGCCCCTCTAAGTGTGTAGTTGAATGATGGCTTGTGAGTGGATCTATATGGGAGGCATAGGAAGGGATATACTACTGGCATAAGTATCCTTAGTCTATAGACTCGGAGAATCTGCAAGCATTACATAGTCTAAGACTAAGAAAAGACTATAAAAATAACCTAATCTAACAATTTTATGATTTTTGTCGCACTTGCAGCAACCAATTTGTATCACACACTAAAAGATTAATGGATTCTAGACGGAGGATCCGACATTCCTATCCGCAATAATTCAGCAAAATTGGGATTTAGATTGCGAGTCAAGCCCGGATTGTGGTCATCCGAGCAGGACATTCAGCAACTACCATTGGGGCTTACAGTAATATTAAAGTAGGAGCTGATATGACTTCGGAGAAACGACATATCACTAGAGATAATGATAAATTAGCCCAGGGGTTTCTAACCAACATTGTATCAATGCAATCGCTTAACCAAAGCGGTCTTAATTAGATTAGTCGGATAACTGCCAGACTAAAATGTTAGGGTGGCTCCCTTGCCTGCAATTTAAATTAAGATGCTAGGGATATCTTGTCTAATGATCTTACAAATAGTCAATCCAAAACATTGCTCTTATGTCTCGATTAATATACGATCCAAAATCGCGGGCACTTACTGAAGCAACGCGTAATAGAATTATGTAATATGTAAGTCATGAAGTAATTTCAAGAATTGGTTAATCCGATGCTGCACTAAGAATTTTGAAGTATATTCGCTGTTCTCTATCAAAATCCAAAAATACCATCTCTAGGAAACCAGGCTCGCAGATCTTACGGAGTAGTTAACCTTTTCATAAAAAAATTGGGACGTAGTGGTAGTAGAGGAGGCCTACAACGCAAATTGACACTCTGGCCATTTTTATTGCCCTGACAGCCACTTCAATTTCATGCTTTTTAGTCATTCAAAAACAAATTCCAGACATTCTGAATAAGCGGTTATTCGCCGTAAAAAAACATAGTGGCAGCGAAATATCCACATATTTCCCCTAGATGGTAAAAATTTATTAATCCTAGAGTACAAAACCCTTGCTTCGAGAGCTCGGAAAAATCTGTAAGGTATCAACTGCTTAAATTCCTGAGCAGAGAGAATCAGCCGAACGCTCCAGGGGGACGATAATGATCAAGGCCAAGGCAGTGGGAGTAAAAGCACCCCTAATAATTAACCTATGGCCTGAAACAGTGGTTGCAGCAGTATATATAGCGAATAGAACTCCAATTCGACAACTCGGATGCAAAACTTCCTTCAAAGTCGTTCATGGAGTCAAAGCAAGTTACGCGTATCTTCAAACTATCGGTTGAAGAGCCTACGCCATCGAAAAAAATGTTCCTAGTTTGAAGAAACTTAACTCAAAGGCCCACTTAGGATAGCTTATGGAGTACGATTCAACTAATTTATCAAAAATCTAGATATCAAGCAATCAGATAGTAATTAGAACGCAGGAGATCTCCTTCGACGATAGTGTGTTCTACTACCCGAAAGACTCGGAACTAGGATCACCTCTGTGCGGATCAGCTGGGATGAACACCCAAGTAATCGAAATGTCAGAATGGAAAAAATTGGATATCAAAAATTTGATAGAGCACAACAAGTTTCTTGCGGATGTAAATTCTAATTTTCAAGAAAATGCTGATAAGAAGCTGGAGGCTATCTGTGTAACAAACTTCCAAAATTCTGGCGCGCAAGATCGAGTATTTTATCCCTCTCCAAATTCAACGAATTTTTTTCCAAAGGCTCCTAAGAACCAGGAAGAAATTCTCGGTCATGAATACTCAGCCAGTTGTGAGTAGGTTTATTATGCTACTTGAGTCATAGACTATCTAATACATCGGGCTCCTCTGACCCAAGTCACGCTATATTCAGCCAGTTTTAAAGCTTCAGAATCAAAGTAATGTAGCACAATGTTTGAAAAAAAATCTGCTCAAAATTCAGTGAGCAAGAACTTCAAGATATGCAAGAGAAAGGTCAGTTTAACACAGATTTTAAAGCTCTACTACTTATGTAGATATATACGTTAAAGTCTAACGCGGACGAATTTTTGTTGTCTATCAAAGCACGACTTGTCGCAAGAGGAGATTTAAGAAACACAATAGAAGAACTTTAAATGTCTTCACCAGCTGCATAAGTTTTCCATACGAAATTGGCAACATCCGCTGTATATAGTTATAAAAGACGACTGTACGATATAGTTGCAGCCTACACCAATGCTAACCTCCCGAGCCCAATCATAGCAAGTCTGCTAGAAGGATTTGAGAAAAAATGGTACTTCTCACGGAGCAGAAAAATCCTCTATGTGTCATGAATGCGCTTTTCACATTAGTAGTAAATCGTCATCCACGTAGTGTAGCACGCAGAGCCAGGGAAATGGAAACAGGTTAGTGATAAATTAGATACCACCGATCGCTACATTCACCCGTAGATCACACCTAAAAGAGACTAGCTACGGCGCTATCTGGAAGTATGTGGGATTGGTTAATTATCATGTATGTTTTTTTTGTTTGTTTGTAATTTTAAGGTCCTAAGCTACTGCTCCCGGTCCGCTATGGGTACAAGACCGGTGGAGCCGGAAGGGATCCCTGTGTTCTTTACCACAGCCCAACTCATTCCAACCGCGTGAAACCACTACCTAAATTGTAGCCGGTTTAAAACAAAAACAAATTCTAACAGTCAAAATTAATAAACAAAGGAAATTCCAATATAACGGTCCAGTATCAGCGCTCCTCGCCCTGACTCCTTCCCTTTCACGGTTTCCACCATAAATATTATTCTTCGTCCATGCTGAGAGCTGTGGACAAGGTCGCAGGTTGGCTTTTGAAGCAGCCAGTTTCCTGCACAAAAGTTGAAAATTCTTTGAGGCATTTGGGCCCAAGAAGAATTTTAAGAAATTGTTGGTATGGGGTAGTTCCCCTTAGTCGTCGGGTATGACGAGTGTAAAGTCTGCAATGCATGAAATGCGTTGCTGTAGTCTCCTCTCCGCACGAACACTTCATGTTCGCGTTTGGGTTGTTGAAACGTCTGTGGTACGCGGCGAAATTTCCGTGACCGGTACGAGCCGCGATGACTTCAAATAGAAGTCGTCGTGGAAGTGATAGTTCCGGTGGCTTTTTCCGGCGCATCATCAAGTCTAGTTCGCGGTATCTGGGTGGGCATGATTCGTCCCAGAATTGGTCTAGCAGCATCTATCTCTTCTGATTCATAAGCCGGTAGAGGTATGCACTGCTGATATTTTGCGGCTCCTCATCTCGGAGGGGGAGACTGCGGAGTT